CTATACAACACAATAGATTGGCGTCTTTGACATAATGCAAGCACTCCAACCTCTTCGGTTTCTGTACATATTTTTTGGAATGTTTAAAAAAATCCATTGTAACCATAACCTGACAGGATGACAAAACTAATTTGAAAAAAAGAAAAACGCGGAAAACTGCGGCTAACGCTAACTCAGCTAACATTACTTCCCCTCTCCTCTGCTTTTGACAATGCTATTCCAACTGTTATGCCCTTAGTTTTATAGACGTGAAATAAAACGTGGAACCTTCTTTAGACGCATGCAAGTGTTTTTTTTTATTATCTGGTAAATTACAGTTAAGGTTAAATAGCTAAAAGCACGTAACATATGTAAAACATAATCTCTCAACTTTGTGAACTAATGCACAGAAACGTTAACATGGTTCAAGCAAACAAGAATCAGGCTATTATGCACAAAGACACATATTATCATAAGTCTTAAACAGAGAGACAGTAACTTACCAGCACTTATTTTTCCAGCCATGCAGCTCCTCCCACAGCCTTCAAAGTGCAAACCCAACTGAACCGTCGTCCAAAATCGCGGGTATCTTGTCTTGTCAAGACGCATGCGCGGATTCAAACAGCTACTATGGTTTTAGATTAACATTTACTTAGTATTTTAAGGTTTATGAGCAGTGACTATAAATCATTTAAATAGTATGAGTAAATATATAGTAAAACTTACTCCTCCCACACTGTAAATGTATCACATGAATAAAAGATTTAAAATGTTACTTAAAAAATTCTAGTTCTTTGTGAATCTTGATATTACCATGTAAAAAGTACGAAAGTTACTTAAATATATTTTACTACACCAAAAAGTCACTTTTTTGAGTACTCTGCTGCAGAGATCAAGATGCATTACTTTTAATCACACTGTTTTCCTGAAGGCCCTCATCCATTCAAGTATTTTGCTAAAGCGGTCTGACAACCCGTCAGTTTCTCTGAAGGTTTAATGGTATGTCAGCCATGCTGTTTCTTGCATGTGTCCTCACGCTGAGCTGGACCTAAGACATCCATCAGCAGTCCATCAGCCCATGATTAGTGGTTCTTTATCAAAACGCATAAACTCTGACACACTATTTATCCGCTGTGTGACCTTTGGGGATTCCTCCGACACCCACTTTAATAAAATGCACCATCTAGTAGAGAGGAGGATTTTGATGAGTTTGAATACATGTTGAGGTATGATGGAGAGATGTTTATTGTTTTACCAATAATGTTATTAATTTCTTTGAGAACCTGTTTCTAAAATGTCTGATGTCCAGCAGTTCTTAAGTTCTCCTGGAGATCCAGAGGTCAATAAGTTCTCTTGGAGATCCAGAGGTCAATAAGGTTGTTTTGGAGTTTTAGGAGTTCATCAGTTGACCTAGATGTCGAGCAGAGTCGGCCTCCAGCTTGATGGGTTTTTAATGATGGCAGTTACTCTGGCCCTTTCAGTCATTCTAGAATTTTTTATAAACTACTGGCATTATTTTGGACGATGCCTCCTCAGGCCCACCGGACAGCCCGATGGGTCCTGTTGATTGGCTGGTAAGTCAGCCATGTTTGGGGCTTGGTAGAAATCAACCAGGCGCCTCAACACCACAGGATTGTCTCTAAGATCTGACTGCATTCATGGAGCCACTTTGCAGCACACAAAGAAACAATGTTGTTGTACATTGAGGATCAGCCGAATGTGAACGTGAGAAAACGTTTCATGCGTGGTCAATGAGGAGCAGGATGGTGCCTCTGCAGAGATCAAAGGACCCGGCTGACAGAGGGGAAGACCTTCAGTGCTCCAACATCCACACACATAATAGGACACTCAGAGAGAGGGTAGATTGTAGTGCTCAACGTATATATAGCAGGAATAATAGCAGTGATGAAATAGTGAAATAAAGGGAGGGCAGGCCATTTGTTTGGTTCATTTCAAAAGACATCAAAAGCAACACACCAGTGCATCTGAATGACAGTCAAGGAAGACACATCAAAGACAGGCTGCCATGACACCAGTTGGTTCATATAATCCAAACAAATCATTCAAACACAAATCTATTATTTCAGAGAAGCATTTGACTTTAACTGATACTATTACTCATTCTATAGGCCTACACAAGTCCAAAGGTGGAGATTGCAAATGAACACTGACTGTCCCTGTGTTGGGCATCATCATTTAATTTAACAGTTCTGAATTTACGACGGAAAGGCAGGCTCTCATTACTGAAATGACACATGCAATGCAATACATATTATACACAAACTCAAGTAATGTACGTAAGTATGAAATTAGGTACTTTACTTGAGTATTTTCGCATTAAACCACTTTATACTTTTATTCCACTACATTTTCTGGGTAAATGTTGTGCTTTTTACTACACTGCATTTAAGTAATTAACACAACAAATGATTTGACACACATTATAATATATTAATATAGCTTAATCTACTTGAACTAAAGTAGTTCAAATGAACCACACCTTTACCATGATCAACATAAAGTGATAAACAAATGAATGCACCATTCATCTTATAAAATACATTTTTAGAAATACAGTGCTTAAAATGGCTGTTTTGCATAATGTGTAACCTGACTTTTGGTACTTAAAGTATTTGTTGATGCTAATAGTTTTCTACTTTTACTTTCAAAATTGTACTTGATTATATTTTACTGTTGTATTGCTACTTGCTTAATCATTTGAGCACTTCCTCCACATATGACAGTTCACAGACCTGACATGTGATGCCTGTAACGTCAGAGCTGGGTACAGTTGGGGCCAACAATGACAGCCTACTTATCATGCTGCAAACTCTCTATTTAGTCTTACCATTGTTTCTACAAGGGCCCGGGACATGATTTCCCTTCTTAAGTTAGCGCTTTTTCATTCGGTTGAATTGGACCTGTGTTTTTTCCTGTTATTGTTCATTTATAGAACTGTCTCCTGTCTGGACACCACGGTCTGTTAACTTGGCCGTTTCCTATTTTACATCCTCCCATACATAAATAATGATATTCTGCAGCTGATAATGAAAGCCTCGCACAAAGAAGTTTTTTGTATCATAATAAGGCCTTTATTCATGTATTTCTACAAACTCCTGACTTTGCTCTCTGATAAGGCAGCTATTATTTGATTTCAATAAAGCCTCCAGCTCTGTTGATGTCAAATTGTAGTTTGTAGATTTCTTCTAAGTGTGGAGCTGTGATGTAATGTGTCTGCAGGTATAAATATAGAGGCATGGCTGCGCAGCGTCCATGCAGATCAATGTCGCTCCGGCGCTGAAATCAGTGCGCCTGTCGGTCTGGGAATGAGTGCAACTTCCACCCGCCGCCGCTTCCTATTCTCGCTTCAGTGGAAAGGCAAACGCCGGGAGGCTGCTTTCAGAGCCACTCCCGGGATGGGCTCTCTGGCGGCCCTGCAGACGGTGCTGGTGCTGGGCCTGGTGACCGGGCTGGCAGGCTGCGTCCCAGGGCTGAACGGCACGGCTGACCGCTGGGAGGCTCTGTACTCCCGCTCCCTGGCGCGGATCCCGGGCGAGAAGCGGGAGGATGTCAGTCGGAACGGAGACTATCTGCTGGGCATTAAAAGGCTGCGGAGACTCTATTGCAACGTTGGGATCGGCTTTCATATCCAGGTGTTACCGGACGGTAGAATAACGGGTGTACACAGCGAAAACCGCCACAGTAAGTTGTGTCATTTATTAATTATTAAATTCAAAATTATTTCTAACACGTGTATTGTAACTTACGGTTTCTTACAGAAAGCTGTATGTTGGTTTTAAACAACAGTATCAAGAAAATCAGCGTTTCAGTTGAGAAATTGATTTTATTATAGCAGGCCGATGAAATAAACTCGATGACTAACAATATGAGTCTGAGCCTCAGCGTCTGACTCCTGATGCTGTCAATCAGAGAACAATTTACACCTATTGAGCCAACATCTGCATGCACCCAGGGTCGGTTCTAGACTATGATCTAGATTATGATTTGGTGCACCCCCCCCCCCTCTCCCTTCCAATGAATACACAATAGAATATATAAAGAATAGATGACAAATCTCTACAAAAGACAAATAAACTACAAAAACTGAAACGTATTAACATGTTGGTTGTATACATATAGAAGGTTTCAAATGTATTCAGTATTGTATGAACATGTTTTAATTGGGGGGTGGACGTCACATCTTCTAGGGGGGTCCGGGGGTATGCCCCCCCGGAAAAATGTGTCGTAACATTTTAAAGTAAAATGCTTCAATCTGGTGTACTTTAAGCAGAATTACTAGAGACTAGATCTAGGGGGTAATAATCAAATAAGTATGTGAACATAACCAATAACCTACCATAGCCAATAACAAATAAATGTAACTTATTTTATCTGTGTTTGTTCATTTCTTATTTTACCTAGTTATTCATGCATTTTTTTTGGATATTTTTGGTTTACTTTCCTATAGTATACATTTCAATGATTTCAAACCTGTTATTTATCCTAATAATTATAAAGGTGTGCCTTGGAAATATTTGTTTACGTAAATTGTGACCAAACCGTTTGAGACCCACTGAGATAACTTAGACTAAAGCACTCTAAACACTCAGAGTCCTTTACCTCACTGAGCTGTAATTATCAGCCTCAATCCAACAACAATCCGCGGTACCGATGCGCGCCCTCTCTCTCTTGCTCGCTCGGAGTCTCACTCACACTTTGGCTGTGAGCTGCGGGCGCCTGATAAGCCAACATCCCCCACTTTCATCACTTACAGCGCCCATCGTACAGGGAAAATGAAAAGTGTAACCGGGGTGAAAAGGGTGTTACATTTACTTAATTATGAATGTTGTTACATCAATACCACAGTATCAATAAGTGGCAGGAGTCCTGCCGTAGTGCCGCTGAGCACCCTTTAGTGCCAGTGCGTTCCGCCCGTGGTAACCAGAGCTCTCTGTGATGCAGCCCAGCCAGCCCCTAAAGTTAGGAGAAGCAGAGACCCTGTGTGGGGACAGACGGACCCCAGCAGTCCCCTCCCTCGGACACAAAGAATAACACATGTTGATTTACCTATCAGGTCACATCTAATCCCTGTCAGGCTGTGTTTGTGAAGTGTGGGCTTTTTGTCAAATGTGAGCTGAGGAATTGACAGAATGCCTCTGAGAACTCATAGCATGCTGGGGGTTTTCTCCTGCCTCTGTACTATTTCCAGACAAGGCAAAACAATTGAGGGAGATACATTACAGGAGATCTCTGCGAGGAATTCAAGCCATTGTAAAGCATTTTAAAATGATAGCAGGGACAAAGGACAAACACACACACACACACACACACACACACACACACACACACACACACACACACACACACACACACACACACACATTGGGCGGCCAATTTGTGCAAAATGTCTTATAGTGTATTGTTGTTGCTGCCTTATGACAGCAGGCAGATGGATGGGAGGTCTCGCGGCTCGTACACATGGTTCCGTCTCATTGAAGGCCATGGATGTATAATATGAACTAGATAGAGCGTTGGAGGCGGGGTCTCGTTCTTTCCTATGAGAGCTGCTCACTGGCGCATGAGGATAAAATGGCCTGAGATTTTCGAGAGCAATACGTCACAAATTAGCCGTCATGCCTGGCTGTCAGAGCAGAAGTACCTGTATGTGCGCTCATGGAGCATGCACAGTTGAGTTCTCCCTTAAGCCCCGCCCCCCGGGCTCCCGCTCTCGGCTCAGTAGAATGAATGGAGAGAGAAAATAAATCTGGATTCGGCTTTTAGTGCATTTTACAACTTTAAGGACCTTATGAATCTAATAAGGGCTATAGTGTTCATACTGGGTAGTTTATTTAGTTAAAAAATATCCGCTGATTTAGTATCTTTTCCAATGTTAGTCAATGGGAAAAGTATTTCTGGGCCCAGTGACGTCACGGACTGATACGGACATTGTAGTACCGCCGTTTGGCCACAACAAACATTTTACTCACATTAATCTCCCGCCCCGGACACACAAGCACGCGGTTTGATTGGCTAGCGCTTGTACTGGCATATGGCTGGCGCTTACGTCGACGCTTGAAAAGTTGAAGTTTTCTCAACTTTCACCGCGAGCAAAGCGAAGCGAAGCAAAGCGAAGCAAAGCGAAGCAAAGCGAAGCAACGGAACCACAATTCAGTTCGGCAAAGCGTGACGTCACCCCATTCAAAGTGAATGGGAAGTGTCTCTGTTGAAGCACGCAACGGAACCGTGTGTACGGTGCGTCACACTCAAAGAAGGGCGGGGGTGATCTCAGGTCGTCTCACTATGGGGGACCCAGAGGCGGGCGGCGGGTAAACTATCTCTATCAAATAAACACTTTTGATGTTTATAAAGTAGTACTGCATACTGGGTTGTATGAAACAATAAAGAATTATTTAAAAATGGACTTCGGCAAATTGGTACAGTCTTGACATGTAGTTGACAGTGTTGGGGAGGGGTACGCTATGCATTGATTCTCGGGTCGAACATTAATACCTACGGTGGCACAAGACACAAGGCATCAGGGGCCCAGTTTAGAAAGAAAAGGAAAGAAGAAGAAATGAAACGCTCAAAAGATAAAGGTATATGCACCTGTAACATCTCATTTATATTAAGCATGTCATTAAATGATGCCGGTAACCTTAACTCCATTGCTGCTTGTTAGCTGCCTGTGTTTCGTCGTCAGTTCAGCAACTACATTGAAATCATTTAAAACCGTCTTACTTCAGAACGATAATGTGTAGCCCTGCAATAAAAACGTTATAAACAACCACTATAACCGTTATTGATTTAGTCACCTCAAAAGTAATTGTACTGACAAGTCCTTAGTGTAATTTTTAATACTGGAGGCTTAATTAAAAGACGTCTGTAATATAGGCCTACAGTACTGATATGTTGTAGCCCATCTTTTGTGAGATATGTTATGCCAAGAAAGAATTAGTGTGGAAAGTTGTGTTATTGTTCTAACAGTTCCTATTCTGAAAAAGTAATAGGCCTACATTGTGCATACTGAAATGAAAGCTTTATTTAACTGCATCAAAGAAGGCAAGGAAGGTCAGATTTTTGGGAGTTGAATTCAGAGATGCCTAATTCTGTAAATACGTTATTTAACGTGTGTTCTGTTCGGTTTGTGTGTTGAAAGATTTGTGCAATTTAGTCTTTTCATTCTATAGCTTATATGTCTTTTTATGTATTAATGTATGTTTCCTACTACTTTTTATATTCATGTTTATTTTTGTGATATTGTGATTTAATTTTTTGTAGTTATTTTGATTACACACATTGTTCTATTTGTGTGTTGGAGAAATGTGTGCAATATAGTTATTTAATTCTGAATTGGATGCGTCTTTTTATTTATTCATATAACCTATAGTTTTTTATATTCATGCCAGGTGGGGCGCCGACAAAAGGTGCACCGCCCTGGGCGCCATATCAGCTAGAACCGCCACTTGTTACCGCTCTGAATTGGTGTATGAATCTACGTAGAGATGAGGCTTGCACAATGTCACACCTTGCCAAAACCAACCAATTTACACAGAGTGTACTCGTACAGCATCATGAAGTTAACTCACTGTAAAATGTTGAAAGATGTCGCAGTTCATTACAGAATAAATCTCAGATAAAAAACACAAACACGTCTCAGTGTGTTCCATGTTCTAGTGTGTGTGTTTCAGTGTGTGTCTTTGTTTCCACTGAAGGTGTCCTGCAGATCTCCCCGGTGGAGCGGGGGGTGGTGACCCTGCTGGGGGTCCGCAGCAGATTCTTTGTGGCCATGAACCGGCGGGGGAAGCTGTACGGATCTGTGAGTGTTCCCACCTTTATTTATGTGTTTGCTCTCATTCAGTCTTAACATACTGGAATCCGCATATAAAATACAAATTCAGAAATGTACCCAGAATAATGCAGAGGACATGACCTTGGGTAGGTCCCTGTTAGCTGTCAGTGGCTGACAGAATATTCCTTAAATCTAGTTCAGGAGCACGTCCACCAACCCTTCTTATATTTAGCCTTGTTAAGGCTCAAGTGTACATTTTGAAATCAGCACAGCACTAAACTAATTCAAGCAATTCAACTAAGCAATTCATTAAAATTAAAAAACAAGTTGCACCCAAGAGACTAGTTGTAGATGTTTCTGAATATGTGCACCAGTGACTGCCAGGGGCAACTGTTCGCTATCAATGGAGAAAACTTGGCATGCTAATATGAGGTCTGTTTAGAATGAAGAGAAGAAGAAATCACAAAGTGTTTTACTAGCGCTTGATCAACATTTTTGATTTAATAATGTTGTAAACTTTAATGAAATGCAGTTGACTATTTGCTCTAGAAGGATGTAGTGGAGTAATGTGTACCTGAGCTGGCCCAGTTCAGACAGCATTATTTGTTTTTAGTGATCCTAATTGAATCTGTGAATGCACACATTGAGAGCGGATGCTTACGGGGGGTCTACGGCCACAATCATTCAGCAGAGGGTCTGCTAACATGTCTGGGCCACATTGAAGCACACTCAACTGATGTCCTCTGCGTAAGATAAACTCTGGCTTTGTCCACAGTGTGCTTCAGGTAGCTCTGTGAAGCTTCTGTATTTTCAATCATTAGTATTTTGAAAGTATTTCTCATTTTACAGAAATGCACAGAGATGTTATTATCATACTGTCAGTGATGTGTCATGTCTATGTTCCGGTGCCCAGGTCTGACCTTCACCCCACTGCCTGCTCTTATTCTAGGCTCTCTAGAGCTCTACATAATAACTTTATATTTTAAGGTTTATAAAATGCACCCGAAAATTAAACATAATAGGCCGTTTAACAGATCCCCTGTAGGGTGCAGACTCACAAAGACTGTAGGCTGCGCTTCTTTATTAATCATCTGTCGTTTCTGTAATAATGTACAGTATGATCTATCTTACAGTCACAACTGAAATGTACACACATACCAATCAAATAGAGATATGGTTTTCATTCAAATGTGTTTCATGTATATGCAAACACAGACATGTTGGTCATTATTTATGTGGGATTGGATCACGGGTGGGCCCTGGAGCTGATGATAGTGCCATAACAGAGTATCAGCACGTGATGCTAAAGTCCACTGTGACGTGCTGCATATGTTTCTAGCCAAGTTTAGCCATGTCTCAGGCATAAATGGAAGAATACAACACTATACACCAACAAAGGAACAATCTGAGATGAGTTCATAACTATATTTAATCTCAAAGAGCCTTAGGATTCCAGCTCACAGCTATATTCCCCTCACAATCAGTCCGTCCCGCCTCACTCCCATCATTCATCATTTGACAATCAAGTTTTATGTGGAAACCCAGGACTGTAACATCTATTGTACTTTAGCTTTGTAGTCAGAAATAAAGCAATTGTTTGATAGTAATCACATGGAACAATACAAACTTCAACAAGAATGCAACTTTGTTTTGTCTCTGACTTCAATAATTAGCATTTTCCAATAATCCTCATGTGTGCGTCTTTTCTCCTTCAGTTACACTACAATAACGAGTGTAAGTTCAGAGAGAAGCTCCTCGCCAACAACTACAACGCCTACGAGTCCATTGCCTACCCGAGGATGTTCCTCGGACTGAGTAAGAACGGCAAAACAAAAAGAGGAAACCGAGTGTCACCCGCCATGACCGTGACACATTTCTTGCCAAGAATCTAGTGGCCGGATAAATAGACTCACCTCAATACGGAGACATGGGGGGGAACCATGATGCACTTTCACTCCAAGCTTTATGCAAGTGTATCATATTTGATCTTTTGCTTTGTATATATTCATTTTTTTATTTATATTTAACCAGTTTTGTATTTTTTTTAGGCTAGGTCACTGGGGAGTAAGATGAAAGATGCTCAACACATTATTTATGCTTTTTTTTTCTAATTTATCACATATTTGCTGCTACTGAATGAAATCCTGTCTTTGGATGTTGGTTGTATTTGCACTGATGGGATATTATGCAGAAGTGCACAGCAGAGGTTTATGGTCAAAATATGTTTTTTTTAATGATTTTTACACAACACGCCCGTTTTGAGTCTTAGCTTAAAAAGTAAATGAGGCGGGACTGTCTTCGGTGTTCGAAGTGACACTGATTGCCAAATGCTCCAACTCCTTTGTGTGGCACTGGAGCCTAATTGAAACAGTATCATCTTACTGCCTGAGAGAGAGAAATGGGGGGGGGGGGGGTTTATAGCTCTGCCAGGGGGGTGCACTCTGAATTTTTCTTTTGTCCAGTTTCTTGAACAGATATGAGGAGCTGTGATCTCTGAGTGCTAACAGCTAACGGCTGATGTTTAGGTTTTGTGGTTCGCATTGAAGATGACATCATAGCAGTTTTACGCAGCGTCGCTCCGCCCGCCGAACAGCCGATCGCCCCGCCTACACTGCGTTACTATAGTTACTACCCCTGTTACTAAACTGTAATGGAAACGCAGCATAAAGTGAGCCTGGCCTACCAAGGCCTAACCATACCGTACTAAGCCATGCTAGGTCCTGCAGTGGAAAAGCGCCATACTGTAAGTGTCAGAGCAAGTCTTGTTCTGAAGCTTTGTTGTCACTGTGAGGAAGTAGCAAAAAGCATATTTCTCAGAATGTCCAACTATTCCTTCAGTGATCTTATTGTCTTAAAGCTAAATCTTTTCTCAGGCTATACCTCAGTGTCATTTACTAAGTGTATTTCCCCTCCAGTCATCTCCTTATGCGGTGATGAACAACAACACACTCAGGTTAAAATAAGCTCACAAATACATTTTGTTGAGGATACAAACTGGGCCGCAGTTCCTGTACGAGCAGTTTCCAATTCCCTTTGGAGTATCCTCTCTTTTATTAAACCAACACCCATTTTCATGTTTTACTTTCACATTTCCCAGACTCCTGTTGTCCTGTGTGTCTGCAGACAGCAGCCCAGCTCGGGGGCCATGTTGTCCTCGTTGCGTCTTGTCACGTTCCGGCTATCTTTACCCTGTGATTTACTTTTAGAAATAATAATCATGGGAGAAATATTTACAGACAGCTGTTGGACTGTACTATATGCTAGGGCCAGTAACCCTATATTTTTCTTTATATATTTTGTAAATATAACCCCCTAGTAACTGAAGGTGCTGGTATTCCTTTCGGGGGGAGGACAGTTTTAAACCAACAGAGCTGGGTGGCTGTCTAAAGGTGTGAGCTGCGTTTGATTGGCTCACGTTGGTGCATTCAGGGGCGCTGTTTGCCGACAGGCAAAGCAGGCAACTGCTCGGGGCCCCGGACCAGAAGGGGGCCTCCAAAGAAAGGAAGATTAAGAAGGTCCACAGCAACGACAACATGAAACACCCTTTAATATGCTGCGAATGTCGGGAAACCCCCTTTTAAAGCCTTATAAAAGCTGCTTCATAATTTCCGTTTCGCTGCTCCGCTCCGAGGGGGGGGGGGGGGGGGGGAGGTCCTGTCGGAGGTGCCATGTCCCTTCTGCTTGGGGCCCCCAGAGTGTCTTGGGGCGCCACTGGGTGCATTGACGACTAAGTCCACCAATCATCAACAACCCATGCTAGAAAGAGGACTATTGACATTTTATCTGTTTTCTGTTGTATTCTTACCCTCCTGTTTACTTCATCAGCCTTATATTCAAGAGGTTTTAAATCTCAAGTTCAACATTCCTCTAACAATAGCATATATTGTATATATTTTGTAAGCAGTCCTGTTTGATTTTTCTGTTTTTTTTCTGTGGGTGAGGGTGCTTTCAGTAGAAGCGATGATGCATTAACACAGAATCCAGCCACAGTGAACACAAGCTAGGAATTAAGTTGCACACAGCTCAAGCAAATATCATGCAAACTGTTGCTGCAGTGGCTTTAGGATCTGAGTCTTTCAAACCAGCTAGGATGTAAAGACTGATCCATGCTCAGTTGGTTCACTACTGTCAGATAGTTGTGAAATTGTAAGAATAAGTGGAAAACACTGCCTGCTGGTCCTGAAACACGCCTGGTTAAATCTCCTCTCCAACACCTCCTGATGCATCCTGCTGTGTGAGCTCTCTGGTAACACTGCTTTGCATGGCGGGCATCATGTTTACAGTAGAATAACTTTCTGCCCTCAGCCACTGACCCAGGGCCAGTCCTCTACTCAGGCTGCTCATTTGGTTATTCAGCTTTAGTCCGATCAAGACCAATGGAGTTCTTAAAGTCAGACTGTGGCAAACCTTCTCTCAGACGCTGCAAATGTTTCACATTCATGTGCTGACCATGCAGACTTGTACAGAAAAGGCTGCTGAACACTGACGGCAGACACACCACCATCACCACAAATTCCTATAATGTCCTCTAATGTTAAAAGGTCAATTGAACCAATATTACCGTATTTTCCGGACTATAAGTCGCACCAACGTGTCGTTAAGAGAAAAAAAAACATATATAAGTCGCTTCGGTGTATAAGTCGCATTTATCCACTGAAGTCTTCATCCTCTGTGTTGATGAAGCAGCATGTCCTGCTCCGGGCTGTCCTCAGACTCTCCATCAGAATCAGCTCCGATTAGACCTTTCTGAATCCCGAAAGGATGGTGTCGGTCGTCACTTAAGCCCATGCTGTGTCCATCCATCCCACAACATCCTGGAAAGTTACGTGACGCATCCTCCCAGTTCTTATTATGCATCCATGAACCTCCCGGTTGCCGTGACTTTTTTCTTCTTCGGTGGTACAGCAGTTTTCAGTTGTCATGATTGTATAAATTGCCATCTATTGGCCGGAGTTTGAACGCAGTCAGACAAAATTCAATATATAAGTTGCTTCGGAGTATAAGACGCAGGACCAGCCAGACAGGTAAAAAAACGTGACTTATAGTCCGGTACCTAAACCAGCATTAACCTAACATGCAGATTTAGTTTTAAATGCTGGACATTAGTAAGCATTTAAGAACTTCTGGATCCCTCGTTTATGGTTAGATGCCTAAAATAAGGTCTGTGGTTAACACAAGCTGGAGAGATTTTCTGAAGTTTTAATCTACGACAAGAAATGTGTCAGTAAAACCACCACTGGTGAATGTTTAAAGCTTTTATGTGTCATCAAAATGGCTAACAAGCGACTAAATGAGACTACTAAACGACATCAACGACGGGAGCCCTTGTGATGCTAGCTTCCAGGTTGGCCTACAAAATATGTTATCACCAATCTTTATCCATGAAGCATTACAAGAGACGAAGGAGAAGAAGGTTTCATTGCTAAATTGGTTGGGACTCATCTATGAAGTGTAAACTGTTGATAACCCTGCTGCCTGGATACCTGCTTTCAGGGAAAGGATTTTATTTTGTCAGTGATGATATGATACTGTACTATCTATAATTCTGAGTCCTGTGGTCTTATGACAATTTTATACCAACTACTTTTATCAGTAGTCCTGCAGTTTTATACAGGGCCTAATAAGTGTCACACTGTATGCACTGTGTGCACATGGCTGAAGTCTAACTAAAGGCAAGTTGAAAATAAAAGGATGATCCTGTAAATGTAAGGTGTGTTTTGAACTGTCTTTTTGTAAAAACATTGTCTTTTATCCTTCACTAATACTTTTTCAATTAAAAAATATGTATGACTGACATTGAGTGAATTCATGGCATAATGCAAATTAAAAGTAACATTATCTATACGTGATAGAGAGCTAGTTAAACTATCTCAGCATTGTTTACATCCCATAGAAAAAATCAGTGTAATACATGCAGCATGTGAAGTTGCTCATCCAGACACCAACATCCGCTCAGGGTCAGCTTAACTGAGACTCTCGTCCTCACCTTTACTCTTTGAACATGCTCCTTCAATAAGAAGTTATCTTATATGAGTGTGTTTCCTAGGGGACATTTAAAACAATCCCAACTTGGGATTTCTGGTGTACATTAGATAAAAGCACTATCAAGTCAAGATGTGGTCATAGTCTCAGCCAGTCTCTGTTCAAATTTCCCATACTGCAACTTTTGTATTGGACCCTTTGCATGCTAACCCTCAAATCTTTCATATTCCACTGCCCACAGTTTGTGACACTGGCTTTATGGTATTAATGTAATGTTTCAAGCCAAAACTGTGATGCCAAGGACCTTTCGGAACATTGTTGGTGTGTTCTTTTAAATAAATAACATTTCCATACTCACAAGGGGCTGACAGTCCCTGAGGTCCACCAAACACACTGATAGATCATTAAAACTCACTGTGTAGTCAAACATTTACACGGAATGTTTTTTATGCTCTGAGATCCAAAGTTTACAGAGATACTACATTTGATGGCTCAATTTTTGTTTAATTGTCTAAAAAATAGGAACCGAACACGTAGAATTCCTTTTCATATGGGGGTGCAGCAATTGAAAAAACATTGATTTCATTCATTATAAACCTGAAATGGGTTTAACATAGAGCTTGAACAAGATGATACAGAATGTAAGGGGAATATATGACTCACCCACCTGGCAATTGCTGTTTGCTTAGTGAGAAAACAGACCAAAGTCAGTGTTGGGTTGATGGCTCTGAGCAACAAAATACACAACACAGATTTTTTTGTAAGCTTCCATGTTGTTTCCACATTATGACTTAAAGCTTATGAACACACCAAAGTTGTGAAAAAAAATCCCAGCTGGGAAGATAGCCAATCTGAGTAGCTTGTGAATGCACCACTTGCCTTGTTTGAGGTGTGCACTCTTCAAGTGTGA